TCCCGAAGCCGCTCTTCCTCCGAGACCAAGGTCCCGCCTTTAGCCGAGCGCGCTTTAGAGGGCAGGCAGTGCCGGGCTCGGCTTCCTCCCACGAGGTGCCCAACCCGTCTTGGGTAGAGAGAAGCAGATGACGGTGGTTACCTTTTGGGGGATCTTACATCTCTAACCTAGCCCTGTCTACTTAGCATCGGGCTGGAATTTTCAGATGCTCACTGACCACTTCGGCTTAAATGTCTCCGGTCATCTCAGGCTCCAAACACCCCAAACTGAATTGGCCTTTCTGCTCCTACCCAAGCTTTTCCTCTTCTATCTCCAGTTTATGTTTCCGGCATCATAATACACATTCCTCTTAAGGCCAGAAACCCAAGGTACACATAAGACTTCTTCAACACTGCTTGCATCTGATGTGGTTAACTAGCAATTCTCTCTCCAAATATCCCTGGCATATGGTCTCCTCCTCTACATTTCTACAGACACAGCCTTAGCTCTGGTGTTCATTTATCTCAACAATCCTGATCCCTTTCTAACAAATTTATCTACTTTCAGTATTATTTTTTTCCCCTACTCATTCGACAGACACTCAGGCACAGTACAAGGTTCTAGGGACACGTCAGTGAGCAGTCTCCCTCCTGGAGACTATATTCTAGAGACGAGCATAAATGAGAACATGAGTAGATGAACAAATAAAACATTAAGTGCAGTGTAGAATAGAGGAGAGTTAACCTAGGTGACTTAAATTAGGGAGGGGGGTTTGGAAAGGCCTCCTTGAGGTGACATTTATGCTGAAACCTAGTGAAGAAAATGAGCTCACTATAAAGAGTGGGGTGGAAAGGTATTTTAAACAGAGCGAATGTGCAGGGTTGTTCATTTGAAATGTGCTGTGCCTTCAAAGACGCAGAGGAAGGAAAGAACGTGGCCCTTTTAAGGAGTGAAAGAAGATCACTGTGAGAGGGCAGTGAGAGGGAGGCAAGCACAGCCAGCTGCAGTAGGAGACACGAGCTGTGGCCGGAGCACGGGAGGCCGTGGAGGCCAGTCTTCCCCAGCCTACAAGATATTTCTGCACAAACAATCAGATCACAGCACTGCCCGTCTTAAATTCTGTCTCCCTATTATTGATGAGATAACATCCAAACTGTGTGATGAAATTCAGAGCCCTTCCTGCGCTGGATGCCGCTTGCCTTTAGCCTTGTGCCCTGAGACACAGTCACACGTAGTCTATATCCTCGAGCTGTGCCTCCTTTTCACATGCCTTCTTTCAACTGGAAAAGCTCCTTCTGAGTGTGATGACCATTGTTTCACCCTCTAAGGCTCATCTGAAATTTTACAGGTGGAGACAAGATATTGCTTTGTTATTTCATAGGCAACTCTATTATGATCTTGGGCTGCTTTTGACATCTCTCCTACCATCCTGTGAACTCTTGAGAATGTTAGAGTCTAGAGCTTATGTACTGTGGTCATCATGGTGCCTGATGCAGAGCTGGCCTTCAAAGCATGCTTACTATGAGAGAGAGAGGGAGGGAGGGAGAGGGAGGGAGAGAAGGAGGGAGCTTGGGGAGGAAAGGAGGGAAGGAAGGAAGTTTTGTCCAAATACACTAATACACATTCAGAGTCCGTCTAGTCTAAGGTTTAGCTTCCTTTTTAAATCAAGTTAAATTCAAAAGACAATTATTGAACGACTTTTCTATATGATGCGTTAGCCCAATTAGTTGTAACAATGTTTAATTATCAGAGAAAGTCTTAGCAAAGAAATGCAACATGACATAGTGGAAGGGACACTGGCTCTCTACTTGCAGATATAGGACCCTGAGGTATACAGCTCCCAAATTTCACTGCTTGAATACACATCACAGGCAGTATCTAGTGGACAATGGAGACGTGTCCACCCTACAAATGAGGAAAACAAGGTTGCTTTTTAAGACTTGAACCAGTGAAAACTGAATTATCCATCTGTGGGGGGTAACTGCAGATTGAAATACTCCAAACTATTATCTAGGTGAGCAACCTGTCGTCTCAGCAAAAGGGAAGATGGCATAAACAATAAATAATGCCAAGCAGAGGTAAGTGATACGGAGGTAATAATGAACAGATATAAATATTTTCATCATGACAAAGGGCAATTCTCAAAGTGAACACACTGGCAGTATGGTTTATACATCAGCTCCTTGTGAGTTTGAAAAGTGCAAGTTAGTGCATTCGCCTCTGTGCAGTGAAAAGATGAACACATGACCAGAAGGCTGAAGAACAGTCCCTGAACCGTGGTCATCTCACCGTGGCCGTCGTGCTGTGCGACCTTGCCTGGCTGCCAGCGGGCCTGCCCCAATCGGATCTCACTGCAGCCACACCCCCCACATTAAAACAAACGTTTTAGGCCAACGTCAGCACAGGGAGCCCTTTCATCAGGATGACAACACAAGGCCAAGTGCATTCCATTCACGACCAGACACGGACTCAGAATGAAATGTAACTGACATAGCCCGGCTCCTAAGTGACCTTCAGATGCCAGTGTCAGTCAAACGATTCCAAAGAAAAATTAAGCTCAGGTTATACTGCCTTATTCATCTGGAATGCATTACTGAATGAAGACATGAAATGGAGCTTAGGAGCCAACTCTGTGGTGGCTTTCAGAGACGCCCGAAGCGGGAGAAAATGAAAATGGCACCCACAAGTCCTAGGAGTCTGCAATGCGACAACTGACCTTTCTAATGCTAAAATGTAACTACTCCGCTGCTTCACATGAGCATGTTCTTGTCCAGAGTAGACTTGGAAAAGTCTCTTATCCAACTCACAATGAGCAATCAACCCAATAAGGCTAGATATCCACGGGGAGGTTTACGGTCCTGAGTTGGTAACTGGACTATCACATGGCTAGAACGACGCTTGTCCACACGGCAATCTGAGGTACTACAGCGGACAGGCCGAAGAGCTGAATCGAGTCTAAGGTGCTGCTGCCAGTGTGAAAACTCATACCTGTATTGCTATGCACCACGGTGATGAAAGCAAGCATGCTTGGCTTTCACCAGGCTTATGAAGAGTGCCATTATTTAGGACAAGACTCTACCACTGAACCTAAAGAATTGCTAATTTCAAGGGCTGCATCAAAAATGTAAGACTCCTTGACATAAGACTATAAACTTCCCTGCTGATATTTTTCTGTTTTTATTTTTTTCAGTTTTCCTCTGACCTAACATCATAATCTCCTGGTTTGAATTTACCCAAAACTCAATTCTTCTAGAAGACCTAATGCCTAAAGTCACTAAAGAATTCCTTTCTGATGGGAGGCCTTTTTAGCTATTCTCTGCCCCTAATTCAAATCAATTATTGCAACATTTTTGGAGGTTTAATATTCATACTTATGTATTCAGTTATATTATTAAGCTTAATACTCTGTGACTATCATCTAATTCAGGATATTTTTAGTTTTATGTGGAATTTTTAATGTTTTCAATAAAGCAAAATTTTAGGCTCTTTACAAAGCTCCTTTGAGAGGAAAAGTAGTGTGTTGAAGTATTGTGTCTTTCAGTTCAGGCCCTATGCAAGTCTTCTGCTGGGTACCAAAGTAAAATAACTTTGAGGCAACGCATACTGAAACCTGAAGGGCAGTGTGGTTTGAGAGTGTCTCCACAGTTAAACTCATGCTAAATTCTACTGACAGTATCTATAGGAGACTGCATTACCACTCAGAAAATACTGTCAGTGACATGTTAAAATAAAGGTTTCCACTTAATTGATTACTGAGAAAGGGGTGTATTGTTTTCAAGGCATGGATTTAAAAAGATAAGATGGTTCTTAGTCTACTTCTCTACAGACTAAGAAAAATATATACAGGTAAAATTTCCTCTCTTTAAATGTCTCATTTCAAACTGAGCCAAAGACAACCAAATTGAAATAGCATACTTTGAAAGGAAGGGATAAAGCAACAATGACATAACAAAAGATGAAAAGAAGTGTTTCTCCATAATAGTATCCCAACTAATGAAGAAATGATGGCATTAATATATTATTATTTGAAAACTTCTAATAAAGTTATGAATCTAGGCAAAGATCTTTAATGCTCACTAACAACATCATAAAGAGACAGCCAGACATTATATACTTAATAGAATATACAATAGCATCTATGAAATATTTTCCCCGCTCAGATTAAGTCTCTAGATCAAACTAACACTTTACAAGAACCACAGGGGACAGAAGAACATAATAAATAAAAACATGGCAATACAATCAGCAAAATCTTGTGGGAAACTCCATAGCGACAAGTGACGTGGTTTCTTCAAAAAATTAACTGCAAAGAGGGGGAAGACGGATGATAGAAACCTCTAGATTAAAAGAAACCTGGGAGACACATCAAAGGCAACGCATGAAATTTCTTTGGATCCTCAATCAAGCTAACTGTAAACAAAAGAATGAATTAGTGGGTATATAGACAATCAGGGAAATTATAACTACATATTTGATGATGTTGAGAAATCACCGAACATCTTTTTTAAGTGCATGATCATGGCACTGGAGTTATGCCTGAAGACGTGTCCTTATCTCTCAGCCCTGAACTAACATTTTTTAACCGATGAATTACGTCTGGCCAGGCCAATGTGGCTCCGCTGTTGAGCATCGACCTAGGATCCAGGAGATCGGGGTTCGATTCCCGGTCAGGGCACATGCCCGGGTTGCGGGCTCAGTCCCCGGTGTGGGGCAAACTGGAGGCAGCCAATCAGTGACTCTCTCATCATTGATGTTTCTGTCTCTCTGTCTCCCTCTCTCTCTGAAATCAATAAAGATATATTTTAAAAAAAAAGAATTATGTCTGAGTTTTGCTTCATAATAATCTGGTTAGTGGAGAAAGGGTGCTTCAGATGAAATAAGAGTACAGCGATAGTTTTGTAGCTGGGCAGTGGACACATAGGATTCATTATGGCATCCTAATTTTTTATAAGTTTGAAATCTTTCACAATAAAATGCTGCAAAAATTAAAAGTTTGGAAAGGAATGATGGAGAAGACTCACCCTGCTGGATATCCTTCATTTCCAAATGCAGACTAGATATCAAGATTCCCACAGTTTGAGATCGTTTTCCATCCAATAACTTGATGATCTGGAATTTAAACATAAAGTTAACACAAGCTCAAATGACCCAGTAATCTTTCAGAAGCATATCAAAAACATTAAGATTTTTAGCTACTCTGAAAGCTCAACTAAACTGATGCTATATTCGCTCTATTTTAATAACCCTTTAATTTAAAAGTAACTTATCCACAACTATAAATATTTTAGAAAATGAAGAAAAAAACACTGCCCCAAATCCCACCAATGTAATAGGAGCATTAAAATCTTTATATTTTCCTCTAATCTTTTATTGAAACACATCTTAACTAAGTTGTAACTGCAATATAAGGCCATTTTATATCCAGCTTTTTCATTTATCATCAGAATATTTTCATGTCGCTACTTTTTAAGTCACTTGGTAGCCTCCGTTCCTGGCTGTGTCATCTGCTGAGTGGTGTAGGGGAAAGATCACTGTGCTCTTGGCTCAGCAGTTTATCAGTGATGTGACCTGGAAAAGTGACTGAATCGCAAGGTATTCAACTTCTTCAACATGAAGTAGGGCCAACTTAGCCTGTACATTTATTCTAGAGATTAAGTGACAATGTGTGTAACGCACCTAACACAGTTCTTGACAAATCACCTACACCTTCCATATTCACGTTATTAAACAGTGTGCACTGGTGATCATAATGATTATCTGAAAAACTTTTAGAATTCCAAGTTGCCTGAGATTGTCTGACATTTAACAGTCTGCCATTTATATAGTAGGAAATTTAACTAATATATTTTTTTAAAACCTCAGTATTTGAAATATAAAAGTTATAGCAAATCATTTAGTAATTCAAAAGTTTAATCAATCAGCACCAACCCACTCTTTCAGCATTCTGGTTGTTATTATCCGGTGCTATTTTAACAGTTTTTAAAAGTTGTCTGGCCCAAGTCAAAGGTTCCCAGCAATATAACAATCTAAGTAGAAATACAAATGAAGCTAAGAACTGCAGCCATGAAACAATGGCTTTCAGTGTTAGCATGCTGGGCTGTCATGGCCCCTTGGCCAGCTATAGAAAGTGACTGGCATCATAGTCTTGTGACTAAAAATTCCAGGACTCATTGAAAGGTGGGGTTATTGAAAAAAAAGTCAGGAGATCAGCCTCCTGTTCCTAGGCCTGCCCTGACTCATCATCATATCAATGCTGAAGCGCAGTCAGTCCAATTCAACAGCATTCACCAAATGCAGACTCCTATGCAAGTGTACTGTGAGGGATGCAAAGATTAAAAATATAATGTATATGTATCCATTTTTTAAATATATATGAATATGTTTATATCCTCATTCAATGGGAGCTCAAACACTAGTTTAAAGGGAAACATATAAATAAGTCTGACACAAGGGAGTTACTTACAGGGATCGGGTAACATGAAAAGTTTCTAATTATTCTTAAGTATATGATCTCTAAAACTTCCAGGACTCATTGAAAGGTGGGGTTATGAATGAGATGGCTGTTTCAGGCACAGTCTTCCCTGGATAACTTGAAAGAAGACCCCAAAGTGCTACATTCAGTGCATTTTTCCTGCAACAAAAGTCTAGGTCTCACCTTTAGAAAACCTCCCCACAAAGAAGAGCTGAGAGATAAGCTCTGCAAACCATGAACCCGAAATGATTCTGCAACCCATCTTCTGGTTGTCCATATATATAAAGGCTCTATCCACTCTGCATGGCCACCAGGGTGAAGGCTCCTCTAGGCACTGAGACCAGCCAGCAGTAGGGCTTTCCCCCTGTAGAGGGCCCTGAGGCCAGTCCACTATGCTTGATTGTTGGATATTGGTAGGAGTCCTGACTTTATTGCTCCACAGCTTCATAACATGCATTTCAAATGAATGGTTTTCCAAGTATATGTGGAACATAGGCAAAGTAATGCCTTGAGGTTCCCAACATGACTTCCTTCCATGTGAATTCTTGGAAAAAAGGCTATTTCAGGAAGATACTTCAGAAAACATTTATGGAAGAACATGAGCTCTTGTACGAGTTTGCTATCCAATTCGTACTCTGGTTGAAGTGGATTTTGGAATCATTTAACCCTTAGTATTAAAGAAACCTGCAAATGTTGCCTAAGTTATCCTTCTGCCCCTGGATTGGCCCAGAAGCCCAGATATTTAAGGATGGACTTTACTTGAAGAGAATGTTCACGCTTTTAAATTTAAAAATTACTAAGGTTACATTTCATACAAGGTAAACATTTATAACCATTTTCTATCACCAAACAAACCAAACACATCCTACCTCAGCTAACTGCAACACAGGCTAAACTTCTCGTGCTATTCCTATACTATGACTACTCCCCAGACACATTTTTCATTCTTTTTGACCTCATGTAAAAATTACTTGATTTGTTTAATCCTCAAAATCATTTTCGGGTATTAAGTAACTTTTGGCACCAAAGCATTTTATTGTCTGACTTAAATTCCTCCTGCTTCCATTTCAATCTTTTTCTGCTCCCAGGAAAGGCAGGCGGTAGCTGGCCTCACTATCTCCAACACAAAGCTCCTTCATAAATCTCAAGACTATCATTTTTTGTTTACAAGAGACGCTTTACATAGATCCTTAAAAGTTCATTTTTGAGAAACATTAGTAAGCCCTCAGTTTATCTTTGTCCTATCTGGAGTCAGCTGAACTTGGCAGCACATGGCCTCCTCCTAGGTGCAGTTACAGTCTGGAGAATGCAATTTGTGCAGCATTCCACTGACCTACAAGATGACCTTGTGCAGGGGCAAATTCGCAGGTTGCATTAAACCCTATTAGACATGCCTAGTTTAAGGCCAAGCCTTTCCAGACCCCCGCCACATGCTAGGATTAGGGATGTCACACATGCGCACTATTACATCGCGAAGGAAGTCTCACAATGCCTTCCAGAGGGGGAAAGCAGGCCCACACCCCACACCATCCAAATCTGCACCGTGAGCCAATGTATCCATATTATTATTTCTTACATGTGTGGATTTTTAGGAAAACCTGCCTCTTTGAATAAGAATTAAAGCAGAAATGGGAAGAAAGATTTGCTACACTGGAAAAACCACACCCTGACTACTCAGCTGGAAAAGTCTTGCCAGACAGACTGAGAAAGAATTTCTGCCAGGTCCAGTGGGACTTTCACATCTACATAAAATCCATATATATATTCAGCTTTCTGCCTGAGCTTGGAAGACATGTCCAGAAGCAAAAATAAAAAATAAACGGTCTGAATACACCATGAATACTGGAAGCGTGCTCAGCCGAGTGAATTTGGCACAGCTACAAAATTAAGATAATCATAGGAGCTTTCTTCTTCCAAGGAGCCTTCCCCAGCTGAAAATGAAGATGATTTCTACACCTCCACTCTCACTAGACACCAAACACACTCAAACCTACACCAGATCGAGTGGGTATTCTGTTCTTTGGCTTATACCTGGCTGTGAATTTTCTCAGTTTCAGTCCCAGGATTTCCATCTGCAATGAAGTTGGCTTTGTCGTAGAGCCTGGAAAATAGGCTCTAGGTCTAGGTAAATATGGCCACACGAGTTATCACCAATGAACCTCTCCTGGGTACTCTACGCAAATAAGGGCATGTTGTTCCCTTTTCTGTCCACATCACACTCCCCCTGCCAAGAGCAAACAAGTAAAGAACCCACATACATGAGCAGCTATTTGCTTTCATGACAATGATATATGTGTGTGTGTGTGTGTATAAAATATCCAATTGTAGAACACTTTTAACATTAGAGAACAAACAAGTACATGGTTTGCCTCTCTCAGGGAGATTGAACCCCACAGTGGAAAATATACAGAAAGTAGACAATCTGACTCTCCAAAGGAAAATTCTAAAAAAACACTATTTCTATTTTTGTACCTCCAGACTGGCAATATCGTTTGCTTAAGCTTCACATCAACACTCACTGAATGCCACTACTTGGCAAAAGTACAGACTTTAAGAGGCTGGATTAAAGTACACGCGCTACTGACGACAAGTCAGCCTGCCTCATTAGCAGTAATCTTCTGCATTTCTAAGTCACTGGCTTCCAAAGGGATCAAGGTGCTCTCATAACGACTGTGGCATTTATCCGGAACACATTCTTGTCGAGTAGGTTGGGAAGCAGGTAGAATCCTGTTAGAGATGTCGACATCGATGCAGCCATCCTAAGGACTACCAGCTGGGATGATCGAGCCAATAATTTACTCTAGATCCCTCCCCATCATATCTATAAATTAGTATGGGGTCTCACTTTGGCTGGATTAGAGAGCAGTGTCTTCTGGGGATGAGATACAGTATATCAAGGGGACATCTAGGTTTAATTTTACTCTCATTTGTCACCCATTCAGATATCACTAAATTGTAAATTCTTATTCTATAAGTAATAAAAATCTAATTTGGAAAATAGAGTGAGAATTTCCCAATGGGAGGAAATTCCAAGAAGTGACACAAGATGATACAAGGCCATGAGGCATGGTAGCCCACAGACGCAGGCCTTATATACAAAAAAACCAAAACATCATGCGAGGAAGCAACTGACACAACCCCACTTCATAGCAGTGGCTATTCTTGTGCCCTCCCTGCCATTTCTAGTGTCGCAGTGACTAGAGATGAGACAGATAAGCCACTACCACTCCCAGCCAGTACCAGGAGCGAGGGCCAGCTGGAGGAGCCTGGCGGGCCGGAGCTGGCAGGTTCTTGCTGTCTCCTTAGGGAGGGCGAGCTCTTCCTTGGAAACATGCAGCTGTTTCTTGGCAGGTGCCCAGGAAAATAAATGCTGACTCAGCTTCCCTGTTCCCCTCTCCCGTGCTCTGCCCCCTGCCACTCTCTGGCACCACACCCAGAGAAGCTGGCTCCATGGGGCCACGTTAGGAAATGTCACCTGACTTGGTACAAACAAGCCCTCACCGCCGACGGCCGTCGTGGCTGGGTTTGCTGCTGGGTAGTGGCCTCCGTCGGCTGCCTGAATAATGCCATGAAAATAAGCTCTCCACACGCAGCCTGATTATCTGTCCCACTAAATGTTTCGAGGCACACTGAGCTT